TTCTAGAACAGCCTCCCCGATTGGAGTCCTGCCTACTCTCAGGAGACTCCTTTGGGGGGCTAGCTTTGTTGGGGTCCTTCTCTTGGTTGCTGTTGACCCCCCTGCAAAAAGTTTAGCTTTTGGGGGTTTAGTTCGGAAAACACCGAAATATGTCCCAAAAAGTTGAAGTCGAAAGATCCAACCCAGCAGTCAAGTTCTGAACCATTTGCGGGGAAGCGGCTGGATTACCATTGAGGCTGAGTGCTGGCCTTACTTGCACCATGGCCTTCATCTATCAGGGATCCTTACAGTATACACCTGAACATTGCCTTGTAAATGGTGGCTTCCCTTTATTTTGGTGGAAAAAGCCATGGTTCAAATGGTGGCAACATGTATCTTTTAAGGAGCCCTGTCCATGGGGGGTCTTTGGGCTGAGATCTGAAGGGTCCCATACCATTCACATGGGCGGCTGGCTGGCTGGGTTTCCTTTGGCCCTGGACACAAAAGGACACTCGCACAAATCGCCCGGCTTGGGCAGTCCTCCCTTTGACCTCGACGCCCTTGAAAGATGATTGAACGCCCAACACAACACTTCAAGGATCTACTCTGTGCTTCCCTTTCGCGCTCCAAGATGTTTTTTTTGCAAGTGCCACCATCCCTCCTCCCTCCCTCCCTCCTTCTCCCCCCGCGTTCCAATTTTGCCGCCCAACGCATCGCTCGGATTGCTCCCAACCGAATCGATCGGAAGGGGAACCGCCTTGGAAATCACTTTCTGAGTGAACTGGCCAAGACAAGCCGAGATTTGTGACTCACTTTTATATTGGGGCCCTCCCAAGTTTAAAGTCCATACACTGGTGAGGTGCGGACTGCGACTGCTTCTCAGCGGCGCTTTTGGTTGCCATGGCTTGCCGGGGGGCACTGGGCAAAGCGAGCAGGATGGGTCATGCAAGCGCCAAAGGCTTGCAACCCCATCTCGGAAGCTGGAAGAATTGGCAAGGGCTTGCCCTACGCTTTGGTTTCTTAAAATCCGGTTCGCAGGGTGCCAACACCAAGTGTGGCTGATTTGTTCTGGTAAAAACTTTCCAGGATAACCGTCGAAGTTCCCACACAAGGGATCCATGACCATTCCTTGACCCGAATCTGTCTGATTCTGGCAACCATACTCAGTCTACACATAACTCACACGCAAAGGCTCACATGCCCAAAGGACCTGGAAACAACAGGTGATCACCTTTTGGAATCTTGACATTTACCTGGACCAACATGGGAAAACCAAACCGTCATTTCAGCTCGATCCGTTTTGGCCAACCAACAAAAATACCCCATAGCCTATGGCGCTTGCAACACGGACGTGTTTACGGAGAAATACTCCAGCTGCACACCCTAGTGACTCAGTGACATCGTGTTGCCGGCTGAAAGGATACAGGAACACCAAGAAGACCAGCTCCCATACGGTGGATGGACGCAATCCATTTCGCACCACCTAAGAAACCCTGGAATGATTTGATTCCCTTGCAAATACCAAGGAGCAATGGTTTGCCATGGATTTGAAAGTGGTGCAGGATTTTGTCCACCCGCAGTATTAACGAAAGGAACTTAAGAGGTCCATCTCCCAAAAGGAACGTCCTCAAAGGATGATCTTTTTGGGTTCAGTCTGGCTGGGGTTGAACATCAATCCGTATGTTCAAGCCTGAAAAATCACAAAGCACAAAAAGCACGCACCTACTTTTCTTGCCTTTGAGAATCCCAGAGGAAACACCCACTCACTTCTGCGGATTGGTCAGAACAAAAGTAACTAGACTGTATGTTTGCCACTGAAAATTGACTTTCCAAAAAGCTTGAAGATCAGCAAAAGGGGAGAAGTGCGCCCACTTTGCCTGTGCCCCATAAAGGACACATAGGGACCGATCGGCTAATGCCTAAGGCTCCAGGAATCTGGCAAACCTCTCCATGTGGGCCCAGGAATGGTGGGTTCCTCTTGGCTTTCGTAGCCCTGCGACGTAGGATGAACAGGATGGGGTAGGTTTATGACCGGATGAGCTCAGACAGGCGGGGGGGTTCATCAGCACGGAACAACAACAAACAACAACTCATAAATGATTCGGTCCAAATACTCAGCTGAAAACACGGACTCAAAACAAACACACGCAAAGAAACTGCAACACACAAACGGCAACTCATACAAAAGACAGACAAAACGTGAACTTGACTCGACCCCCCGAATTGAGTTTCACGCCGAGTCTGGACTGAGTTTATTTTGATCTATTTCTGAGTTCTTTTGAGTTTTCTGGCGGGGAGGACATCTACAGTTTTCCCCAACAAAACACATGCATACTGAGAAACAAACTCACATCGTGCGAAAAGAAGCGCAACTTGTGCATTGCCCGCTCCCAATTTGTCCTTTCTAGAAGTTTGTTTCGTCGCTTTCTGAGTTCGGGGCTGCGTCAACCAGACTCCTCCAGACTCCCGGCAAAGCAACCGAAGGCCGCTGAAGGCTCGCCGATTTTGAGTGAGACTCGTGATCGATCCGAGGCTCGGATCCGTTGCGAGGAGAGGTTGATTTCAACCATTCTGCTAGGGGTTGATTCCAATCATTCTCTTCAGCCATCGTTCTTTTCGAAAACCGGCTGTTTCCCATGTTTTTTTTGTGTGGTTTTCTAGAAAGAAGGATCCCTGGAAAGCATGGGGAAGCTTCGGGACCCCCACAAAAGCTCTGTTGCTGGTTGGTTTCCCTTTAGACCGACACCAAAATGGTCTCCCATCATTCCACCAATCAAGGGTAACTGTCCAACCCTTGGTATTGAAGTAACTAACAACAACTACAACAAATGGTTACAGAGCCAAACAACCTAAAAAAAACATGGCTTGAGCAACACATATTTTATGTCCATTTCGCAGTTGCCCCTTGCAAAACTCAGGAAAAGAAGGAGATCATCTTTGGGGACCATGGCTAATGGAGAAACAAGGGAAAACTAAAAGAACCATCCGTGACACTGATTCAGGAGCCGACTCGCAAGAGGCAGCGGTCTGTGACGATCTGTGTTGTGTAGTTTTTTGCCCGAGGCCATTGAAGCTCTGCAGAGAAGCATGGAACCCAAGCAAGACCACAGCTTTAAATCTAGAAGCTTGGCAAGACTTAGACTGGACCTGCAAGTAGTTGCTGTTTAACTGGAGGGATATCTTGAACTATCTTTAGCGCATACCTGCTTGTCCTTGTTTTTGCGGCCTATCACGAAAATAGCTCTACCCTTCGCTTTGGACACCAATTCATTTGCAGACGGTGAAACTCGGCTTTGCTTTGAGCCAAGTCGAGCAGGACGCACATTTCTTCGCTCACTGTGTTTCAGCCTTGCAAAGGAACTGGGTGAATAAAAGTGGCGGCGGTTGCTCTCCAAATGGGGGAGGGAGACCGAGTCCCAAATGTGCGACGGCTTTTGTGTATTGAAAGGAAAATGGTGGAAGCCAGGACCCCCCGGACGTTCCGGGAGCCATTGAACCCACTTGTCTCTGTGGGGGAATCATGTGGTCAAACCTCCGTTGTGACCGATTGGGCCATGGTTCCATTTTTATCGATCATGCCACAATGGATATGAAGCATCCTTCCCAGGTGGATGACCATCCCTGTTAACCCCAGGTATAGGTTGCAATGAAGGCCCTATTCACTTTGCAAAACCCATCGCAAGTGCTTGGATTTGGTTTGACCCCTGGCTTTGGCTGCTGGACTCCACGGCTGTCAAAAAGAAAACCTGGCTTTGGCTCCTGCGACATTTCCCCAGTTGTAGCTGCCTTTTGGGGGGCCACAAAATGGGGAGTTTCTTTTTGGTCGTCCTTTCAAAAAACAAGGTACCCCCCCTCATTTGGGCCTTTTTCCGAATCAAATCTGTGTCTCGGAGAGAATCTTTTGCGCCATCCGGTGCCAAACCTGAACAACACGTGAGGGGCCGGCTGAACATCCTGGGGCGACGAGCATTTGGAGTGACCAGCCGGAAACCATAGGAATCAACTAGTGACTCTTGTGACACAATTAGCAGGTTTAGATTCGTATTTCTTCGCTATGATTCATCAATTGAAGTGTCCATAACATCAAATAAATCAATCTTCGGGGACCGAGCGAGTCGAAACTTTACATGCGCATCTCTTTTTCAAGCCACAAACTCCCACACGTGCCATGCCCCGTTTGGGGGCCCCGTCTTTCTGTTTGTTTCCGCGCCCTAAGTCAAAGCCGGGCAAACGCATTGAGCTTCCAGGACTGGGTCCAGAGAGGTTAGAAGGCTCCCAACTTTTTTCCTTTCTGGTCTGCTTTAGGGTCATCCTCACCCTCCCCCACCATGGAAGTGTGGGCCCACGAACCAAGAGGAAAGTCATTCGTCTTTCTACATTTGTGCACTTCCATGGAATCGCTGGTGGGGGGGGGTTCTTCCTCCCCCCAAAAAGAAACGGTGAAAGGGCACGAGCCTGGCGGACCTAGAAGACTTAAGCCCAAGAGCGGCGAGCGATTTCCCCAAGGCAAGCTGTTGCGTTTGCTCCGGACCTCGTGGCGCAACAAAAACCCAAAACCGCCCGACGCAAACGCAGGCGTTTCAGATTCACATGGAACCCCAAGCACTCACTCATCAAGGTAGCCCATAAAGGTGGCTCCAAGGAAGGGACCGGGCCCCTCATTTTAGGGATTTCTGCCAATCTACTCTTCCTAGAAAACGCTTGGATACACAAAAAAACAAAAACACCTGGGCATCTTTTCACAAAGCCAACACACACGCACACAAACACAGAAACACCGGGTGGAAGCTCAAACTTGTTTCGCAGGTGGCTATTTCAGACCCTGACAAGTGCAGGGATTGGCACTTGGCGATTGCATGCGGCATATTCATGAATTTTACTTTTCTCCCCGCAACAACTGGGGGGCTTTCCCTTTTCAGTTCTTTGAAAGAACCCCCACGGGACCCACCGGAAAAATGAAGACGCAGAAGGCATCTCAAGCATCACGCTTCGTTTGCGTCCGACTCGGCCTACGCACGGCCTCACAGAAGCAATCCGCCCTGCACCTTAGTCGCAAACCGCTCAACGACACCCCATTTGGCATTCAACAGCCGGGGATACGCAGGTTCTGCTCCATGTTTCCACTTACCAGGGTTCCATTACCTCCAAGGCATGCAATTGGTTTTTCGCAACAGCTCCTAGGTATTTCTTTTTCCCAGTCTGCAATATGCACCCCCCCCGAAAAAAAAAGACACAATTGGTTGAGCAACAGCTCGTAGGTTTTTTTCGCGATATGCACCCCCCCCAAAAGAAAGAAACACACATTTTTCGCAATATGCACAAAAGCACACTTTCTAAGTCGCACCCTGGAGTTGTGGCTTGGGAGAGGCCGGAAAGCCGGGAAAAACCATTTGCTTCAGGCTGGAAAAAAATGAAGATGTGAGCAGTAGTGAAATCGATTCCCTGTAAAGCCAGACAACATAACAAGTAATCATTTCAGCAAATAAATATAAATAAATGCAAGGAAGGAACAGGGGAAATGCACTAGTGAAATCGATTCCCTTCACAACCAAAAAGGGAAAACTAGCACAAGTCTGAAGCAAATGGAAGATACACCCCACAGAGGGAGCATCTTCTTCGGGAGGGCGCTATTGTTTGCGCACGCTCTTGCCAAATGCGGGGTGGCTTTGAAACAAGAGGACAAATCAAACAAAACAAAACCAAAAAAACAAAACAAACCAAACAAACAGAACAAACAACCACACGCATCATGTTATATTGCACCCGTCATGACTGTCTACCTTTGAATCCAAATCATCCGCACATGGAATCCACGTTGGTTTTGACAGGAAGGGCCTTTCCAGCTTCTGACTTCACATGCGCAGTGGCCACTTGTTGGGAATGGCAAAGGAGCAACCCTATGAAGCGGTTGCCCCGCTGTTTTCCGCCCCAAAGCCCTCCTGAAGGGCAGGTGTTGTACTTTGTTGAGGGATTTTTTGTGGGGTCGGGAACCCGCGAAAGTCGGAAAGCTGTTACACAGAGACCAACAAAACGGGGTTGCAGGGGTCGGTCTAAAACTGCAAAAAAAGGAGACTCCTACAGGGATCCCTACATTATACATCTGAACATTGCCTTGTAAATGGAGGTGTCCCTTTAATTTGGTGGAAACAACATGTTTCAATTTGGCAAAATGTATCTTTTCAGGAGCCCTGTCCTACTTTGAGAAATACCGATGATATGGGAGCCCCAGTCTTTCTTCGTCAGCTCGGCCAATTTGCTGTCCACTCGCAGCCAGGGCACTGTAACCTGACACTTGGCACGCTCCTCCAGGAAGCAGCAAAGCAAATGGGTGCGCCTGCGCTGCAACTCCATTCGGAATCTTCCGCACGAAATTGAACCGCCCAAAGTGACCACTTGTTGGATGCATAATTAGGGTGCAAGCGAAAGTTTGGGGGAAGATTGGGCCATAAGTTGAGGAACAGTTGAAACAAGGGAAAACTAAGTGAACTTCTCGGGAACACCTAACTTGGAATAAACTAACCAGGGCTGATTTCTTTGGAGACGAAACCATTTTTGTTTTTGCAGGTCAACTTCGGGTTCTGCGGAAGAGGTTGCGTCTGACAATGCTGGGTAAATCTCAGGGTCCATCCAGGGAACGGATCCATGTTGGTGGGAGGGAACATCATACGTAAGTCAGCGTCAAAAATAAGTAATTAAGCGGAACCCTGGAAACAAGTGTCCTCCGTCCGGCGTGGACGGTTACGTCGTCTCAGACGTGATAATTGAAGCTACACATAGGGTCTGGATTTGTCCTGGGATTTTTTCCTGTTTTGGTTTGGGTTTTTTCCTGGATTTTCTGTCTTGGAACTGGCAGGTGCGATCTCCCTTGGTTCTGCTTGGTTTGCCTCCTTTTGCACCAGCGCTGCAACATCCCCGGCATAGTTTTAACTCGGTAGCATCCTTTTCAACATCCTCAGCATCACGACTTAACTTTCCTAGGCTGGGTTTAGGGTGGGTTCAAGGTTGGCTAGGGTTGGTTCAGGATGGGCTCCAGGCTTGTTTAGGGAAAGTTTGGGGGCGGCTGCGCTTTCGGAAATGGGATGGGTCAGTGCTGGTTTATGGCGGGCTTCTTGGGGTTGGTTCGGGTGGGTTTGGGTCTGGTTTAGGGTGGGTTTAGAGTTGGTTTAGGCTGTGGTTGAGCTTAGGGTGGTTTGGGGTAGGTTCAGGGTGGTTTAGGGTTTAGTGCTGGTTTTATGGGGGGTTAGGGATTGGTTTTGGGGTTGCTGTAGGGTGGGTTTAGTTGGGGGTTAGGGTTGGTATAGGGTTTGCTTAGGGGGGGTGGTTTCAGGCTTGTTTAGTGCGGACTTCGGGTTGGTTTCAGGTGGGGTTATGGTGGGTTTAAGGATTGGCTTCGGGTGGTTAGGGGTTTAGGGTTGGTTTAGGGTAGGCTTAGAGTTGGTTTGGGGATAGTCTAATACTGGTTTAGAGTGGGTTTGTTTGGAAGTTACTTTAAGGAGTCTTGCGGGTTTTTGGTTTCTTTAGGGTTTCTTTAGGGTTTCTTTCGGGTTGGCGGTTTTGTTTTAAGGTTGGTTCCAGTTGTAAGCGGCGGTTTAGGGTCCCGTGGTTTTAGTGGTTTTAGGGTTGGTTGCGGGGCCTGAAAGTGGGTTTAGGGTGGGCGTTGGATTCATTGGGTTTCGTTCAGGATTTTTGTGGCTTGCCTTTTGAGGTCATCACAAAGCCAAACAACAGCCCTATAATGAAGCGGGGTTGGGGGGGCGCAGCCCCCTCCATCTACAGAAACCTGAGAGGTATGCGGAAAGCCGAAGCCACAAACAAGTAAAGCCAAAAGCCAAAAGCCAAAAAGCCCAAAGCCAAAAGCCGATAAACCAAAAAGCCAAGAAGCCAAAAGCCAAAAAGGCCCCACACACCAAGAAGCCAAAGGCCAAAAAGCCAAGAAGCTCAAAAGCCAGATAAGGTAAAACCCAGGAAAAGTTCCCAAAGAAAAACGAGGAAAATTCTCCCCAAAAATAGCCATCCCTACACATACCTTCATAACCCTTGGCATGGTAGCAAGCGACTTTCTGTTTTCTGCAGCCCCTACTAAAAATGTACAGAACAAACAAAACACCGCAAGAACGGTGAAGATACCGTGAGTCCAAGGTGCTTCTTGCATACCGCAAATGGGTTTGTCACAAAACAAGGGATCCTCAAACAATGGTCAGATTCCAACAAAGGGCAGACACACCTAAATGGACCATGCTACACAGGCCATCCAGAGGGGTAGGGCACACATCCAGTCAAAAGGCAAGCCAAGCTAGGGAACCTTCGGCCCACTACTCAGAGTGAATGGGCAAAAAGAAGTGCAAGCGGTTTCTGTGTACCACGAAACGAATTCTCCCCGAAATCGAACGTCTGTCCAGGAACTCCAGAACTGAGATGTTGTCCATTTGCCTGAAGGTGTCCTTGTGCGTGCAGAAACAAGTTGAAGGGTTCCCAAGATTCGTCCATGTTCAGTCCCAACAGAAAATTGCTTTTGAGAGCTCTCTTGCCTGCCGTGTCCGCTTGCTGAGAACTTCCCCTGAAGAAAAAAAAAAAACGCATTCCAGAACAGACTTCCTTGAGAAATAAAACACCTTCTGATCTCTGCTGGGGAAGGGCGCCAACATCCGTCCACACCCCCAGGCCAAACCACCAATTTCGTGGTATTCACCGAATCGGACTGACAAAACAACACAAGCACCATGGTAACACCTCCCCTGGTCTTGGTTGCAGTTGACCCCTCTGAAAAAGTTCAATGTCTTGTGGGCCCGTGGGACAAATCCCTGTTTCAACCAAAGTTGAAGCCCAAAGCTCACGAGCGTTCAGTTTGAACTTAGTAATTGCTTTCTTAAATGAGATGTCGTGAGCCTTGATGATGACCTCCACCATCAGTAAAACATTTCGGCGGAAGCTAAGCATCTTCATAAAATGGTTGGACAAAAAGCAACAGCAACATAGCTACGGACTCAATAAGCACATTCTGACTTCTACAGCTGGGGAAAGGGCAACCTCCAAACCAAGCCGCTATTGACCGAACCGGCCTGAAAAAGCAACAACCAAAAAACACACCAGTGGCGACTAACAATAACTCCCCTGGTTGAGTTGAAACGCAACTGGGCAGTGAATCTCGCGCGGATCTCCAGCGCCACCCGGGGGAAACGGACACCTCGCCTGGTGCGCTCCGGCTCGGAGAGCCTCGGCTCGCTCGGCGCTCGTGGCGCTTGGGATTTCCAAGGGGCTTTTCCCAGGGCTTGGGGGCCGGGACAGCCTGGCACGTTGGGTGGGAAAATTCATAGCCTAGTTGTGGGATTTCTGATGGTTGAATGCTTGAATGCTTGAATGGTTCAAGAATTTGGCCTAGTGCTTTCAGGCCAGCTGTAGTAAGCGATGGGGGTTCTGAAACTGGGTTGTACATCATGGTTCCCAAGTTGGTTGCCTACTGTACTGGCTTGCCTGGACGCACCGGGCTACCTAGGATTATTCTAGTTGATTGCTTTTCCATTCTTTTCAACCAGCGTTCTTTCCAAAAACCGGATCCGTTTTCCCTGGGTTTCCCGGAGGTTTTCTAGAAAGATTCGGATCCCTGGAAAGAAAGGTACCTGTAGAATTCCAGGTGTTTCCATCTCTTTCTTTGCTCATCAACAAAAAAGTGGCAAACCTGGTTAGAGACCAAACCTTGACCGAGTCCCGGGAAAACCCGCAACACGAATACCATGACCCAAGGCACCTTACCCAGGGTTGTGGGGAATGGAATCCACGAATCTGTGATACAACAGAAAGGGCTTATCAAAGACTAACCCCCCATAAGGGGGAGATTCCCTAAAGTATCTCAGAAGTGGTTGGAAAACCCCCGAGTGATCCCACAACCCTCACCTTACCTGGATGGGGGACTCGGGGAAGTTCGGGTGACCCATCTCCGAGGTTCCGCGCGGGCCCAGCAACACTTCCGCCTCCTGCGGCGAGGGGCGCCGTACGCGCACCACCTGGCGGAGTTTCGGCCCAGAAGTTTGCCAGATCTCAAATGCCCAGTGGGATTTCCATGGGAAAAAAAAAACACAAAATGGCATCCTTTTTTGGTTGGCCCTTCCCCCAAAAAAGGAAAAAAGGGCACCACTAGGCAGCTGGGCTAAGGGTTTTTGCTTGGTTGACTTTAAAGGGGAACCCTTGGGAAGCGAAAAGGTCACTTCAGGTCGATTCGCTTTGGGCAAGTGAGCCAGTTTTTGAGATGAGGGCCTTCATAGCTTTAGTCGCAGGGAAGCCTCAACATTCAGCCCAGCAGGCGCTTGGTGTTCATGGGTGCGCGTCTTTTTGAGGGCAACCTTCTCAGGTTGGCTTCAACAGGACATGAGAAGGATACCGCTCAATGTTCGGGACCAACTAGGCCCAGTTTTGCAGGCCACAAAAGAGTTTTCGTAGGATCACCCCCGGCCTGCTTCCTCTAACGCGGAAATTAGGGTAGAACTTGTTTACCCCGCCCAACCGAATACGGCCTCAAGGCTTAGAGTCTTGCTGCGAGCGAAACATTGGGGGCTTGGATCTGACAGTTGCAAGGACATTCACCTGCGAATAGTTGTGTGAACCAACGATAAGTACGCTTTAACCATGGTTACAACTGGTGCAGATTCGGTGCTTCAGTTGCTGCCAAAAGGGGCCGAGAAATAGAAGGTGATCACCCTGCCTGGACACCGAAGTATTGGCACATCTTCCGCAGGGACGACTCCGTAGCATCCGGCGGAAGCCTCGAAATCTTGCAATCCCGGGCATGTTTTCGCGTTTTCCCAAGCCCTCGTTTTGGTCGGTCCTGACAACAAGGCGGGTTGAGCTCCGGCTCCTTTGATTGCTTACGGCTTTTGGTGGGTGCCCCATGCTGGGCCCGGAGTATATTGCCCGTTGCATGGATCCGCAACTACTTTAACTAATGCACACACTGGAAATAAGGAGCACCCCGAAAGAATCTTTTCAGGTGAACTCGTTCCCAGAGCATGTTTTTTCAACGAGGCCAGCAAATTACAAGGATCCTCGTGGGATCTATGATGCGACAGTAGCAGATTGTGCTAATTTTCGGTGCCTCAGTTGCCCAAAGGACCCGGAAACACCAGGTGGTCGCATTGTACGGCCATGTCTAACAATGGACCGATATTGCCTAGGTCCTCCAGAAAGAGCTTAGAAGAAGTTGGTACCAACTTTGTTCTGTAGTCTAATTTAGTAGGGGAACCTTGCCCCCAAAAAGGGTGAGAAAGGGCACCTAGGGGCACCGATATTACCAAACGCTCATGTCAGGTCGATATGCGCTTTGGACCAGTGAGGGCCCAAAGCAGCCTTCGAGCGGAACCCCTCTGAGCAACTTCAGGGGGGTTCGGAGTCTACCTGTGTCCCTGTTGGACAAAATCCCCTTCGCACTAGCCAGGATGGATACACCCCCATACACGCCCCCCCCCCCCCCCACCCCCCAAGGCAAAAACAAAGACACCAACAAAAACCCAAACATTTGGGGCAGGATGTCCGGTTGTGGAAGGCCCAGTGGGTTTTGCTTCGCTGTGGTTCAAAATGGGACTGGACCCCCTTCATAAGATCCGTAATCCACAGGTGGGCTCTACAACAAAACTGAACCCAGTACCGTCTGGCATAGCGATGAAGGATTGATATTGAGCTGGGTTGTTCATGGCACAAAACCAGCCTCTCGCTTTCAATCCACGTCGCTGAAGGATGGTTTCCGAATGTCCCCTCGACAGTTTAGACCAAACCTCACATGAGCTTTGACCACTGTTTGTTCTACCAACATGGTCAGAAAGGTTATATATATATACATGTATGGTTGTTTCTCTCCATACGGGACCCCTTTTGACCATGTTTCCAAGGGAAACCATAAAGGAAACCAACAGAAAACCGCCACTTTGAGGTGTCCTTTGTTTTCAACATTCTGGGCCTTCCTGTCCCAATTCAGCCGGGCACCCAAAATAGATCCAACGAATCGCTTTTCGGCGCCACCTCGCCTCGACACATGGAGCGTAAAGCCCAGGGGCACAGTGTCCGTGTCCTCGTCCCGGTCCTGGCCATCGGCAGGGAGCCTCGGTACCCGCTTGTTTGGGTGGGGTTTGAAGGGAAGCCGAAAGGACACCGAAAGGACACAATCGGGTGTCCCCGAAAAGAAAAACACACACAGAAACATGTAGAAATCAAAGATTCCGGGGAAACACACATCTTGAAACAGATTTGTCCCCCAAAAAAACAAACACACAGAAACATGTAGTAATCAAAGATCCCGGGCTCTTTAAATAGATTGGCTGCCATACATTGAGCCTATTTTGGCTGGCTGATTGTAAACACGCCTTGAGGCAGCAGGAGCGGCAACTCCCACCCACCCCACCCGCCCCACCCCACCCCACGCACCGCAGGCACACACCCACCACTGAGCATGGTGTTGGGGCAGGAGTCTGCTGAAGCTGAAGACACTCACGTTGCTGTCAAGGACCCCTCAATCGAATCTCCCAAAAACCCAAATGCCCTCTCAATCTTCATCGCTGGGTAAGCAACAAGGCCCCTGAAGGTCAAATCGGCGGGCCCTCGACGCCCCGTTTGGGTTGGGACTTCTCCCTGCCTTCTCCTTGCCGTCCTCGTCTCCTGCGAAACTCCACTCAGTGACCTTTCTGCCCCCGGTGCTAGGGTTCCAGTTTTTGGTCAACCACAAATCACAAAATGGAAGTTCTCGAGATTAAAAGGTGTCTGTTTTTTTTTTTTAAGACCACGAGAAATGTGGTTTTCCTATTGGTTTCCCTTTAAACGCCACAAGCAAGGGGCACCCTTAAAAAGCACAGCCACAAATGACAGAGACTCTGCATCATGGAAGGTATTGGGGCTCAACGACAGGGTTTGGGACCATGGCCCTGACTGGTTTCGACGAACCCCGGCCGGAGAAAAGACAAACCATATTTTTGGTACAAGTATCTGGTGTCTGGGCAACGCACACCGGAAACAAAGACCCCCCAAGTACAAACACTAGAATCACAAGTGAGCTCGTTGTACCAAGTGAGCTCATGAGCTCGTAATAGTTGCCCTCCCTTCCACTAACATAGCACCTGTGGGAGGGTACCTGGAAGATAATGTTCCCCTTGCACCTCTTGTAGGGGCCATTTCCCTGTCAGGTGCCATGGAAACGTGGGAGAAAGATTTGGGTAGTCAGTGCAGAGATTTGGGTTGTTAAAAGCCCCCTAGAAGGGCCCAACTTGTTACGCCACGTGTCCCTCAGTGGATATATGTACATGTATTGCTTGAGCGACAAGGGAGGTAATAAGTCCAAAGATTCAGGGTTGAGATGCGACAAACGCCAAACGGTTTGACGACAAGGGCTCTCTATACTGGCCTGTTCCAAGTGGGGGGGTTCCTAATACTAATCCGTAGTTCGGAACACCGCTGTGACAAGGGAAACGTTACCATCTGGCATAAGGTTTGAGGATTGATTCGAACACTTTTAAACATCCCACAACTGAAAGAGGTCGCTCACGAAAACGGGTCCCTGACAAATTCATCGAACCGCAAGCAAACTCTTGACATTTCTCCTTATACAAGGTCTAGAGTCTTGCGTGGTCATCCCTGTCAACGAAAAGTGAAGGTACAACCGGCAAATTAAATCTTAAGAAGCGCCATTTGCTAAATCGCTGTACGGCAAGAATGCGAGCTGGTCCGCTCCAACATGCCTATCTGCCTCACACACTGTCTTCATGTATGTGGTTTTAAACCTAGGTCCTCCAGTAGAGAGGTTGAATAAGGCTACCCTTTTTTCTGTAGTTTATTTTTGTGGGGAACCCTCCCCCAGAAAACTAGAAAAGGATAAAAGGGCACTCCTGGGGGACCTAGAAACCTTGGAGATTGCATTGATTGCAATTTCAGCCATACTGGGCAGCCCTGATATACCACATATATCCCTCTGTACTTGATAACACCGTACATCAGTCCCAGGTTGCAACCCATTATTTTCGCCCAGTGCTTTCAGAAGCCTTGCATGCAGCTAGAACCTGCCTTCCACTCATGCCACGGTGGCTGGAAGCGCTCAGAAACGACCATGGCTGGAAGCGCTCTGAAACGACCAGAATACAAACGCACTGCCGCACATCCTGAGAAGCACTTGGATGGTGTGGGCCGCCGGGGTTCCGCCATTTTAGCTCTCCCATACCATCTTGCCCCCTGTTGCTAAACAAGGTGAGTTCCACACCCAGGATCCCTTGGTTACAGCTCGGTGAAGCTCATTTCCCGCACAGAAAGTAAGACTTTCGGGATTCAGTTCCATGTTTAGCGTGAGGAGCAACACCACCACATCTGGGACCCATTTTCTGAGTCCATTTCAGTGCAGTTTCGAGGAAAACAGACACACATCTGAGGAGACCCCAGATCTGAGTCAGCTACCCCCCATCCTCCCAACTTCCCCATCGATCCCATCGATCGAACGGCTGGCGCACCTCCGAGACAGACCTCTTCGCATGGCAAAAGGTCCATGTCCAAGCTCTCGCCTCACGGATTCTCTCGACGGCAGGTGTCAGGCCAAGCAAATAGATCGAACACAACTATATATATATATATACATGTATATATGTATGTATGGGGTTTGTAGGGGTTTTCGCCTCGCGGAGGTACCTGGGTCCTGGGTGGGGGTCTGTGCTGTCTGGGGTTACGCTGCAATTGTTCGACGCTTGGCTCGCGTTTGAGGCTTGGCAGCCTTTCAGGCTACCGCTAAACCAGAGGGAACGGTTCCAGAGAGCCGCTGAAGTTGAGATGGGCGATAGTCCTTTTTTGTTCTTCTGGATCTGTGGAAAAACCAAATTCTACTGATGTTGGTCTTCCTACTTAGGAACCATAGATATGTTCCGTGTGACTTTGGGATTGCAGATTGATTCGACTTTCGTCTGAGAAGCTCCCAGAGAAGGCCCTTGACCTCCTGTCCCTCAAAAAGTCGGATCAAACCCACGGTTGGTGTCCTCTGAGTTCCCTGTTTGTTTTTTCATGTTTTTTTATTTTGCAAACTCCATTGCTATCCATGGGACTTCTGGGAGATCGGCTGAGTGACGCGCTCCTCCCGATCCTGCACTCTCTGGATCTGCTGCAATCGCATCTGCTGGCACAGGCTGAGGAGCCGCATCTGCCACTTTCTTCTGCTCCTCATGCAACCATTCAGCATACCTTGCCTTGCAAGCTTTGCTGTGCACTTTGCTGTGCGAGGATGTAGAGCCACACGCGTAACAGTCTGGTGTACGGCCACGAGCACGAATGAATGATGCAGGCATGAGTTTGGCTTAGGCTTCGTTACTCATGCATGAAACAACCAGCAACAAAGTAGCTTTTGCTCAGCGGATTTGCAGGGGCCAAGCTGTTTTAATCCCGAACACAAGATTGCTCGGACTCCCTCGCAAGCAACGCACCCGTTGTTGAACCATAAGGTCAAAGAAAGTCCAAGCTATCATTTGTTGTGTCAACACAAAATCCTACCACCTCCAGAAAAAAATCCTTGGCACGAAAAGGCCACCCTTTCTTACGTACTTGATGCTAAATGGAGGCCCCTGAAAACAGAAGGGTCTGATGCTGTTGCCCCCTCCCAGCTCGCATACCTGGACGTTGCCCTGGGGTGACTTCGACTTTTTAAGGGCAGCTAGAGGCTGGTACATGGGTGTGTCTCTCTTTGAGGCTGCCCGGCTACCGAAGGAACACCACCCGAATAGGGGGGGCCCTTGAAACAACAACACAAACACAGGCACAATGCTCAAGGATCGGAACTCCGTTGACAGCGCCTGGACTTTCTTAGCATGCTAGTAATGGATCCCTTTAAAACCCAGACCCAAATAAACACATATTCTTCAACGCATGTGGAAGTTACAAGGGAAACACCACTGAAAGGAAAGAAATGGCAACGGCTTTTGGCAACATCTCAGGGCTGTTCGGCATTTCTGAAGAATCTGTGGGAACAAACGGGTCTCTTGGGAAGGTGTTCCGGCCATTACAATTCACCATGGAGCAAGGACTGGCTCAATGAGCTCTTGACTTTTTGTGGGGTGGACCAATACCATTTTCCCAACCAAACAGATAAAAGGTAGATGTAACCGTACCTTGAACATCACCCCACCAAAAGGCAGCTCATTTCAAATGGCCCAAAAATTGGTGATGAACTCAATCAGGGACTTCCTGTGCTCCCAAGTGGGTGTGTCTTTTCTTAGGCCCCAAAAAAGGGTCGGGGTGCCTCTGACTCGATCGCCCAGAACAAAACCAAGGCCCCCGGACTGCGCAGCAGCACGTCGTCCGCGAGGTTCGGACCTAAGACGAACACAACTTCACTTCCTTCCGGGAAAGGGGTTCGCTTCTTGAGGGTACCAAACATAGCTGTCCTTTTGGGGAAATTTGGTGGGTTTCCCTGGTAGATGGAATCAAACCCATCTAAACCAGTGGAATCCTTCTATTTTTGACCCAACTAACCTAAAACGGACACCTATGGTACCAACATGTCGGGTTGTTTAAAAGGACACCGAGACGTTCAAAAGGAAACCAAAAGGACACTTCCTCCCCCCCCCCCCCAAACAAAAAAAAATGAAAAAAAGAGAAAAAACACAAAGAATTCCCCCCCCAAAAAAGACAAATAAACAACAAAAAAACAACGCCTTGCGTTTGCCGCTTCCGTCGAAATCTCCCGCCCCCCAGGGTCCCGAAATCTCAGGTTCTGGGAGGTCTGGTCGCGACCTGGTGCCCCTGGTGCCCATGCGTGGCTTCCATTTGCTTAAGCCCCCCGGAAAAGAAAAAAAATATACAAAAACAAGAAACAAAATGAATATATGCCCAGTGATAAGTTCCTTTTTACAAAACCAACAAGGGAACACATTTTTTTTACATATTCTTGAGCAAATCATGCGTGGACATACTGTGGATGGACAAAATCCATTTTCGCGCCACGAAATGAAACCGTGGTTGAAACCATTTATTGTTGTTGGTATTTACAGGGAGTCGAATCATTCCCGGGTTTCTTGGGTGCGAAATGGATTTCGTCCCTCCACAGTAGGATGTACGAAAGCCCTGTAATTTTACAGGGGCCACAAGTAGAATCGGGAAGGCTACTGGGACACCGTTGAACCAGACGTCAGTAGGACATGCATATGCCACACTGATTGAGATTGGGCCGCTTATAGTTGTGTGGCTTTGCTTCACGTGCTGACTCAACACTTCTGGGCTTGTTCCAGTGTGCAAAACACGACTCCGCGAAAGGCTTCGGCACTGCAAACTCCGAACTGGTTCGCAAATGAAGTACTCTCCAATTGGGAGTGTCTGTTTGGGCGGGTGCCGCTTTTTCGCCCGGGTGTCCAAAAAACAACAACAAGGATATCCAAAAAAAGCCACACATTTTCTGTGGTCCTCCAAAGAACAAGAAGACTACACACCCAAGCACCACGTGGGGTCGCTCGTTTTAAACAAGTACCCAGTTCCGAGCGATGCGCTAGGCGGACCAGTGATCGCCACACTCAGAGAGGGATCTACGTGTGTTACCGCTTTTGCAGCGTGGGGGCCTGTTTTTGTTGGGTACAGGTGGGCATCTTCTTGTGAAATCGGTAAGTAGGTTGCTTGGTTCTTATCTCGATCAAGAATCAAATGGATGTGGGTCAAAATTACACCACCAAGGCACCACTTTAGTGACTGTTTCCATTTACCAGGGTTCCATTTTGGGTACATATTTGTGACCCACAGCCAAATGGGTCTGTGTGCTGCGTCTCCTCAGAAATGTCGAAAAGGGACATGGTCCAAAGCGCTCAACCCGGTGGCCCGAGGCTCCGCGCCCTTGTCTTTGGCCACGCGCGCCTGGTGAGTCTCGGAAGCCTATAGTGGCTCACCGGCTGAGTGGATGGCCCAAAAAAAGTCACCGAACTTTTGGTTTACCACTAAAATGGTCCAAACCCGAAAAGTTTGAAGTTCATGAACTCAGGAAGTGAGGTGGCCATGGGAAGCAAGGCCACCCTGGGTTCGTTGGTTGAGTTCAAAGGCAAACAATCCCGACACAAGCCCAGGGGATATGCCCAACAACCTGGACCCGCAACCACGACCCTGGATCTTGAACCGAACCATCTCTCCTGCAAAGTAACGTGGAACTGTAATAGGGGGTCCTGAGAAGGAGAAGCCTCTAAACATCAAGGTTTAATGGGTTTCACATCAATCTGAAGGAGATAAAGGAATTCCTCTGTACCCATGTTGGCACCACCGCGCCGCTACCACGGGGAGGTCTTGAGCTACAACGGCAATGGGCCGCTCATAGTTGTCAAACTGATTCAAAGCCACATCCATTGTCAGCCTTTTGCAATCCAGAACTGCTGGTCCTGTGTTCAAATAGTGAAATGGCGTAGCCGGGACAGGGCAGACACGCGCTGCAAAAGCAGTAGCACAATTGACAGCCGTCCCAGGCCCAGTGATTGACCTCTGGGCAACTGTTGCGCGCAACGCAGGATCCCGAAAGACCACCTCAAGATGGCTGAGCACAGACTTGTGCACACGATCCACTTCGAACAGGCAGAGCTCCAAAGCCTTAACATTTCCGTTGCCGGTTGCTTCCAGTCACTATGTTTGCGGCTCACTGGATTTGTCAAACAAGTCCAAACTTCCTGCTTGCCACCCCAAAGCCCTTCCCAAAGTTTCAGACTTCTGGCATTGTAACAAACAACGAAACAAGGGGTCTCGGTTGAATGTGAAAAAGCGCCCACCCTCTCTCGCAAAAAAGAAGAGGAGTTGAACACAGGGCTCGCGTGCCACACATTGGCTGTGGGTCAAAAATAGGCACCTCAAGTGGAACCCTGGTAAGCGGAAACCTGCGGTCCCCTGGTGGTTGCATTTTGACCCATACCCAATTCTTTGGGATGTGGACGAATCAAAATCTCCGGAACCCACAGTATCTTTACAGGGAGAGTCCGTGGCCAACTGGCACGAGGCGCCCCGAAAATGGGTTCCCGCATTAACCAGACCTTTCATGGATTTGTGTGTGCATGTTTCGAGGGAACCTCGCTCCGACAAAAAAAGGAACATGGGCTCTAATGGCGTCTGAGACTCTTCAGTATGTCTCCAAGCCATAAACAAGAACAATCTGGACATTCTAACAAGTACTTGTTTGTCTTGTGGTTTCTGTGTGTGCCTCAATTTGCAAAATTCAAACGCCCGCAAATTCCCGCAAACGCCTAATCAAGGGAAAACGCACGCAAATGGACAAGGTTGCGGAAAAATGGTTGCTTCAAGGGAATTTGCATTTGGGAAAAGGCAATCCCGTCCTGCTGTGTTGACGATTTCCAGTTTGTGGACACGTGTGGAAACCATTGTTTCTCGCGAAAACGTTGGGAAGACAGGCCGCAACTTGGGGCGAGAGTCACATTGAACGGACTTCATCCGCGGGATCCAACAGTTTGGTCTCGCATGCCGAAACCTCTCAAGGCGCACCCAAAGTGTTGAAGCAAACCCCAGACCTTTGCAGGGCCTTCTCATCCCATGTTCAATGGACATTCCTTCGTGTACTTTTTCCCGGGTGTTTACTCTATTCAAGGCGTTTGATTTAGGCGTTTTGCGTGGATGTGTGTTGTTCTTTTTTGTTGCGAGCGTTGTGCGGCTTCTTGCGGGCGTTGTGCGGCTGAAGATACCCTTGTTTGGGTTGTTTGAACGGGAAGCACACCTAAAGAGGCTCCACTCCCAAAAACTTAACATTTGTTACACGCTGCCCCGGGAAGCGGAACGGGCTCCCCTGAAGGTAGGCCAACGACCAAACCCCGGGCTCCGTCTACTGGTTTGTGCTGGTTGAACTGTGGCGCGGCCAGTTTTGGGATCCTCTTTGTGGCTTTGGCGGAGATCAGAATTGGGGATGCATGTCCAACCACCTTTCGAGGCGGCTCCTTCTTGCCCAGCCACTGGCAATGGGAAAAACAGAGCATCCCTTTTTGGTTGGTTGAGGTTCAAGGGGAACCCTTCCCAAGAAAAAAGACTTGAAACAAGAGAATGGCCCCCGCCACGCTGGGCAAAGCTCTTTGCGAAGCCGAAGGGGAAGCGAAGAAATTGCCCACTTCGGGGGGCTTTCACGGAAAAGAAAAAAAAAAAAGACGGCGCATCTGCGAACTTTCCGGCGCCTTCTCGTGCACCTTCGCCTTCGCCTGAAGACGCCGAACCCGGATGCAACCGGATCCCGTGCAGGGTATGGGCGTGAAAATGCGGGATGAAGACTGTGGATGGACAAAATCCTGCACGTTGACAGCAAAGTTTCTTAGGTGGTGCAGGATTGCGTCCATCTACAGTAGTTGCGGGATTGCATAGATGCTATTGGGTTAATTTGGTTGGATTATTCTGCGTCTTAAAATGGGGGACCCACAACATGACGGCTTGCCTGTGGTCTCTTTTAAGGACTTCAACAAAAACACAGCCCCCTTGTGGAACGTACAACACCCTCGAGAGAGGCGTTTCCTTGTGGGCTCCATTTTAGCTGGGGATTTGCGACACCGTCATAATCAACCAAAAGTCTGGGGGTAACTTCCATTTCCATTCTTTCCAGGGATCCTTCTTTCTAGACCACCGCCAAAAACCCTGGGGAAGTGGCGATCGGTTTTTGAAAAGAACGATGGCTGAAAAGGATGGGGCATGAACCCCTGGAAAAAGGTTAAATCCTGGGCGCCCAGTAATCTCTCACTTTCTCTCTCTCTCTCTCTCTCTCTTTTCGCTTCAGGGCTCCACGCTGATTTTGATTGACACAACCGGACCAAATCAGAGCGCGGTTGAGGGTACCCAGTGTCCTTTACAGGGGATGACCATTGGTTCCCAGAACGCCACAAAAAAAGAACGAATACTAAATGGGAAAGGTACATAGGGTCATGCGTTGTTGAGGGTACCTTTGGGCTGCTTAAGAACCAAAGAAAACTATCCCTTTTCAGGTCACGCCCTAAAGATTCAGTCGCAGGGAGCAACATAATTCATCAAGCCGCTCTCGCCTTTGTGTGCGTGTGAGACGGAGTGTCCTTAAGTGCCTTCAATATCAAACGAGCCCAAAGTCGTCTGTGAGTCAGACAACTCAGTTGCCCAAAGGACCTGGAACTAAAAGGTTAACCTTTTGGGGCCATGACAAAAAATAGACCAACATGGGAAAACCAAAAGCTCAAAAGGTCGGCTTTGAACAACTGAGACAACCTGTGCCATTGCTCCTGCTCTTCCAGTGTCAGCCAGCGACTTTCGCGAAGCTCCAGGTACGATGTGACTGCTGTCTGACCTCTTTTGCACGATGACTTGAGCTACGCCTGCAGGAACTCTTGCGACTCTGAATAGATTTGCAGCGCAGCTTCATGCTTCGAGAGTTCGAGAGCAAAAGGTGTCGGCGCAACAGTTCGACTGAAACAAGGCATCCCTATGCAAGGCGCCTCAAGAGGGAAAATTACCCGCAAAACTCTTTGCCCAGATCAGGGAGACCCATTTTGGTTCTTCCTAGGACTCCTTCTTGGATGGTTTTGCAGGAAATCCCCTCTCTGTTTCCTTTCGGGGAGATCAGTAGTTGTGCGCTACTTCACATGGCAAGAGAACCCCTGCCGCATAATTGGGTGGCCATTTTTTAGGTCCCAAACCGGAGGGAAACCATATTTTAGAGGCTCGGAATTCATTGCACTCTTGGCGCGAGTTGGAGGCGCTTCCAAAAATACTTTCGGACTCTGGTCCACATTTAGTCTACTAATATTGTCTCAAACTGCGAAGCTGGTCAACAACTAGGTCCTCCAGTAGAGAGGTTAGAATAAGGGTACCAACTTTTTTCCTGCAGTCTATTTTAGTGGAACCCTCCCAGCCAAAAAAGATTTGCTGAGAAAGGGCACCAATTGCTGGGGGACCTAGACAACAAGACGAGCCACCCATGGAGACAGATGGCTTGTCAAACATGTGTGCCCCAAATGGAACCCTGGTAAATCGAAATAAGGACTAAGCCTGCGTTCTAGTGGTGTAATTTTGACCCATGGTCAGATCTAAGCGACGCCGACCCCTTCCGCTCGCCACTGCCTGCGCCTTCCAGCGCTGCGCTTTGGGCCACGCCTCCTGGCAGTCGTACGACGTGCGACCCCTTGCGCTCGCCATGCCGTGGATGGACGCGAAATCCAATTCGCACCACCGGTCAGAAGCCCGGAATGGTTCGATTTCCCTGCAAATTCCAACAAACGTTGTGGTTTCCTGTGGTTTCAAAGTGGTGCAGGGTTCTGTCCACAGTCCTTTGGAGTTGGGACATGATCGTGTGACGAGCAACCATACCATACTGTGGATGGACCAAATCTGTTCGCACCACGAAATGAAACCCTGGTTGATTGCTTTGAGAATCTCTCAAAATGTTCACTTGAAGGGATCATGCCAAATCCCAAAACTTCTGAAAAGTCGGCGAGCATCACACAGATGCTTCTTTGCATGTGCTGGGCAAACAACGGGGGTACCCCCTGTGTTCTGTTTTTCAGACCATTGATCTCCCGCAACATTTGGCTCAAGGGCCCCTTTTGCATAATCACGACCATCCGAGCGTGAGGACAAAAGAGCCATTGCAGGCCGCTCACAAGACAATCCACCAGGGACAATCCATCCTCCAATCATCCATTACCGGCATATTGGACTCTCTCCGGAACAGATTCAGGGACCAACAACGACCTCAACTACCACAGGGTTCCAGTTCCCTCCGGGGATAGGCACCTGGGGCAGTGGGCCTGAATTCGTGGTAGCGGAGCGGGTTTTCCGCAGAGATCCCAGGGAAGATGTCATCAGATGGAGAAGGCTTCATGGAAGCCTATACAAGTTCGGCAAAGCCGAGCTATACCGAGGAAACACTAAATTTATCGATGACCGCCAAGCAGCCGACCATCACAACGGTGGAAGCACCAAAGAGAGGACCTCTCCTGAAGAGCAGACTTACAGGAGATGCATATATGTACAAGGCAGTCCTCCAAAATGACCTTTTGCGAGATCCTGATGAAGGAGTCAACTATTTCAAGAACACGCTGAAGAAGTACTTTTTGAAAGGTGCGACCAACGTGTATCTGTACAGACTCCTCAGTTTCTTCAACCATAGAAGGCAGAACCAAGAGTTCCTCATTTTTACCTCAAAATTCGAAATCCTTCTCATGAGATTGAAGGCAGCATGGATGGACTTGATGCCCGTTTTCACGGCACAGTCCCCATCATTTCGACAGTCCGTACAGGACGCAAATGCAAGAACAATTGCTCGACATCAGCAAGCAGCCGGTGTTCGAGCACCGCCTCCAGCCCTGCTCAATGAGGACGATCCTACAGTCCTCAGACAGTATATCCAAGGAATGCAGGACAGACAGCGGGACGCATTTCCCTTCGGGGATAATCTCATTGCACAGTTTTTCATCATTCAAAGTGAGTTGTCAGATCAACAAAGAGAAAGACTCACAAGTGCAATGTCATTGAGAAACATCTCACTCGAGAATTATTCCTATGAGATGCTGAAGACGCACTACCATGAACTCTTCATCACAACGAGGACATCGATCCAAGATCCATCCATCCGACCTCAAGGAGGCAACCGAAGCAACACATTCTTCATCATCGAACAAGGTGAATATGAAGGAGAAGAAGGCTTCTGGGTTGAGGATGAAGAAGGACTTGAAGGATTCATGTCAAACAACGATGAAGAGACGTTCTGGGTCCTCGAGGAGAACGATGCGTTCATAGCAAGAAAAGTGTCGGGGCGGAACTTCAAGTTCAAGAAGAGAAAAGGAAAAGGAACATCAGGAAACAAGAAGGGCAGTCCCCAACGAGGGGGCTTCAAACCCTTCAGAAAAAGCGGTTCTGGCGGAAAGGCCAATATGGCCAACGAAAACTATGATCCCTACGACCAGGCATATTGGGGAAAAGGCAAAGGAAAGAAGGGAAAGAAAGGAAAATCAAAATTCCAATATCCCTATGATGGAAACAAAGGTTATCCATCCTATGAGAGTGGCAAAGGAAAGAGCGGACAAGAAAAAGGAAAATCCAAGACGTTCGCAGCCACCGCAGAGAAGACGGAGGAGCAGCCCGCCATCCAGCAGACTGCACCATCCATAGAGCCTACCTATGCCGGTTGGACAGACCAAGATTGGGATCAATCATGGACATGGAACGAACATGGCTGGTACTCATCCCATGAGACATCCAGCACAGGACAAGCGTTAATGGCATTCCATGATGCATATGAGTATCCTGGGAAAAAGGCCATCCACGAGAAGCTGATCCAATCAGATACAGTTTCAGAACACAATCTGTCCGTCACAACAAATCACAGCCTTTTGGCAACAAAGCTGATGGCGCCTGTCATCAACCCTCAGCACAACCCGACCTATGCGATTCTGGACAATGGATGTACCAGATCTATGGGCAGCTGGCATGCAATCCAGCGTTTTACCCAGGCAATCGAACCAATGAAGGACATCATCTACATCCCGGCCGAGACCAAGTTCATGCACTTTTGCAAACGGAGAGACCGCCAGGGTAAATTGGACCCTGCATCTTCGATATCACACAACTCCTCCGTGCAGTACTAACATCGACATCCTTGAACAAGGAACTGTACCGATCCTTCTCAGCATCAGCCAGATGCGGAACCTCTACATGACCATCGAGCACACACCTCAATGTGATAAGATCACATGCAAGGCCTTTGGCATGAACGTTCCAGTATCCGGTACAGGACATGCACTCGTCGATCTCGCTGGAGTTGCAAGAGTGAAGGCGCATGGAGAAATTGCTCACAAGGGCCTCACCAACTATGTCTATGACGATGATAACAGCATCAAGTTTCCCTCCGGGGATCTCACCAAGAGCGAAACTGTTTGTGCAGCAAAATCATCCGAGACAAGGGAGGACCTAGCAACTCCTAAGATCATTGGGTCTCAAAAGCAGGACCATTGGATCCTTGACCAGAAGAACAAGCAGCTCATCCGTGTGCACATCACGCCCCGAAAGGCGCTGTTCACACCAAATGGAGCCAAGGAATGTCCAATCAATCCTGATCATATTAGCCGAGAACGTACCACGGAAATCATTGATGCATCCGCAGGTGGAGATCCAGATATTTTGGAAGACAATTGGAGACTTACATCCCAGGCAAATAAACCAATGATTAACCTGTGGATAGGTAAGACCATTTTCACCTTCTCGGGCAATTCGCTGAAGGACGTAGAAGCAGGTTCAGGATCGGCAGCAGACAGGATCATCGACAAGAGGGGCCAGTCGACTATTGAGCCAGATCCTTTCGCACCATCCTCAGAAGAACCAACATCGCTTCCGCTTGCCCTAGGCAGAATCCACAAGCGATTGTCAAATCCCGAAGAGTTGAAGAAACTCCACCTGCAGCATCATCACATGACCACAGATCAATTTCGATTTAGAACCCGAGCACTTCATTTGCCGAAATCAACATTCGATCTATTTGACAAGATCCGAAGTGAGTGTGAAGTTTGCCAAGTGGCGAAACATGCACCATCACGAAGCAAGACAAGCGGACTTCGAGCGGACACCTTTGGTGACATGACATTCATTGATCACTGTCAAGTTCCTCTTGGAACAGGAGAACACATCATTGTTTTTGTCATCCTGGATGGAGCAACAACATTGCTCACTGCAGAGGCAGTGACAACTGCGCAAGAAGTCGAGAACATCACTGTCCTCAGGAACTATTTTGACCAGTACCACTTGCAGCCCAAATCAGTTGTCGCAGATCAAGCCTTCATGACAGATACATGGGAACATTTCTATCAGTCCCTTGACATCACACCGATATCCTTGGGACCGAATACACCAAGGCTAAATCGAGCTGAAGCAGCAGTTCGACTCCTGAAGGCGCAACTCAAGATCATGCTAAGTTCCACCAAAGCAGGCACTGCACCTGCAACATTGAAGAAAGTGACCTACAGGCAGCTAGTGAAGGCCGCTGCAACTGTCAGGAATCAGACCGTCACCTACGGGGGAGTAACACCATTGGAGCTCGCATTCGGAAGACGACCAGCAGATCTCATCCAACTCGATGTCGCAACACCAACTCAGTTAACGATTGACAGGAATGAAGAAGAGATGACAGCCATCCAGATCAAGCAGCTGTCCAAGAAGCACGTCAATCAGAGGACATTCGACGAGACCTTGCTCAAAATCTCCGAATGAGTTCAAAGCCTCTTCAGGTGAAGGACAAGGTATTCTACTGGCACGAAGACAAATCCAAGATTCGTTCCGATGGAAGCAAGGGAGGAATATGGCTAAAAGGAAAAGTCATTTCCATTGAAGGAGCGATGGTAGGACTTGATCTTGGGACTCGACTCATCAAGGTTAACATGACGAAGCTCAGGAAGGATGAGACCATCCCTCCGGGGAAACCCGGAATTGACCTTCTGTTACCTGAAGAGCGAGAATCCTTGCAGAAGGAGCAACCAGGCTCCTCTGTAGATACCAAGAAAAAGGAATCATCCGCACCAGCTCCTAAGCCAAGATCCTCAGTGCCATTACGTATCGCGGGAAAAACAACTCCAAAACCTGCAGTACCTCATCCAGCAGAGAACATGTTCGTCGAGGACCTCACATCCATTCCTGAACAAGCACATTGGAATTGTGTACGTAAGGGAAAGATCCACGTTCTCGAGATCTTTGCAGGAAGTGCCAGATTCAGTCAATGCTGTGCACTATCAGGTCTTAAGGTTGGGACTCCCGTGGACATCCGCACAGGATTCGATGTAATGACATCCAAGGGACGACACATGGTCATGGAGATCATCAGGGAACAAGCACCTGATGTCATCCTTATGGCACCGGTCTGTGGACCATGGTCAAATATGCAGAACATCCAGCAAGACCAGCAAAAGGTGGGGGAAAAGCGGAGACGCTACCTTCTCATGGTTGAATTTGTGGCATCCATTGCGCGTTATCAGTTGAAGCACAGAAGATACTTCATTATCGAAAATCCTCAGACATCCAGGATATGGTATCTGAAATGCATGCAGCAATTGTTTTCAGACCCATCCGTGACCTGGGGAGATTTCCATTTCTGTGCATACGGACTAAAAGAT